GGCTGGAGGGCGGGGGGGGGCTTCAGGTTTAGAGTGAAGGATGCAGGCAGGGCTGGGTGGGGCAGGGGGTGCTGCCCGCACCAACCACCAGCCCCCCACGCATTCGTGCCACAACACCCAGGCTACTGCAGGGAGAGGAAAGTCACACGCTCTTGGAGAGGCTTGGGTCCTGTGATGCACCCAGCTCTGGGTTGTACTGGCCACATATAAAAGTGTATGGTGCAGGCCGTGCTAAACTGTTATATGTGGCCATTGCACCCAGCCCTGGGGTGTATCTCAGCCCTCCCCATATGGAGCTGTTACACCCCAGAGCTAGGCACATCTCTGACCTCCCCATGCACTGTTATATGTGGCCGTTACACCCCAGAGCTAGGGCCACCCCAGCAGACATGAGGGGCACTGGCAGGGCTGGGGGTAGTGGCTTGGCTGTAAAGCATGATCATGTTTTCTGTGTGATTGTTGGATATTGTGCCTCCTGTAGGACTGGAGAAGACCACTTCCCATCCCCCCTCAGACCGTTACCTTAAGATTCCTCAACAGAACCTGTAAAACAAGTGGAGTTACTCTGGCCAAATCCTGGAGTGCCGACCCTATTTACATTTTCACTGAAATCCTGCCACACTTTTAGCTTCTCTCATTCCTTTGACTCTCAGAACAGCAGACTCCCCATGCCTGGAAAGGGTGACTGCGCCCAAAAGCTTGCCAAGAACTTTTTTCTAACTACTCAGTTGGTCTAATAACAAATAACACCTGGACTAGGGAGATGCTTGGGTGCTTATCTTGCTGGGATCCTATGACCCCAGCTGTCTTCTTGCTCCTTGGGCAGGGGGCTGGACTCGATGATCTTCCAAGGTCCCTTCCAGCCCTCATGTCTGAGAAATCTATGAAGTCACATCTACTCAAAGAACCTTGCCTGCCTATGTCCTTAGACCAACACAGCTACAACCAAAAACCCAGACCCCCCTTGACTTGCTTTGTCTGCATTAACAGTGCTCCAATGGAGCTGCTTTTTGGCTGGAGCCCTGGATGAGGGCACTGGCAGGGCTGGGGGGCAGGGGCTGCAGGTTGGGAGTGAGAGGAACCCCAAAGCATGACAAGTCAGTGACCACGCTCTTTTTGATTGAGCAATTTTATTTTATTTTACTCGAATAAGGAACTGGCTTTTGGGCTGATATTACAGACTGAAATCCTTTCTGGGCCATCTGACACCATGCCTCTTTGGCACCGGAGGACTCTCCTGGACATCTCTGGCCAGTGTCTTGCCCAGCCCAAAGCACCGGTTTGTGCATGCCAGGCTGCCAACTGACATGGTACTATATGTCACCCCATGCCCACTGTACTAAGTATACGGGCTCAAATAAGGAATTTCTTTTGGGCTGGGATTAGAGGTGGAAATCTTTCTTGGGCCACCCCATGTCATGCCTCTTTGGTTTTTCTAGTTTTCTGGTTTTCCTGGACCTGGGCTGTTTTTTGGGCTGGGATTACAGCTGGAAATTTTTCCTGGTACAGCCCATGTGGTCAGGGGTGTCCAAGAGAGTCCCCCAATGCCACAGAGGCATGGCATGGGGTAGCCCTAGCTCTGGGATATAATAGCCACATATAACAGTGCATGGGAATGGCAGATATGCGCCCAGCTCTGGGGTGTAACAGTTGCATATGACAGTGTATGGGGAAGGCTGAGAGACACCCCAGAGCTGGGTGCAATGGCCACATATAACAGTTTAGCGCAGCCCTCACCATACACTGCCAGGGCCCTTCATTCCTGATCCATAGCCCCCTAGCCAGGAGCGGCATGGAGTGGGTCCCGGAGGGATCAAAGCCCTGAGCTGCAGGCAGCAGCTTGGGCTCTTTCTAACTCCCCTCTGGCATGAAGCCAGGCAGCTTGGTGTGCAGATGGCACATGGAGGATCCCAGAGGCACTAGAGCCTAGAGCCGGAGCTGGCAGCCCAAGCATTGATAACTCAGTGGTACAGCTTTTGCTTGCTACATGGGAGACCTGGAGTCAATTCCTGACCAGGGCACCAGAGGTTTGAGTTACTTGCAAAAAGGAATACCCACTGGGGAGTGGGTTCCCCTCACCTCTCTTACCCTACTCCACTAGGGTGCCTATGCCTCAAATTTTGTGGGACCTGTGCCTCATATTTTGGGAACCCTGTGCCTCAAGTCTGTTGCTGATTGGTCTTTGTTATATGTATATGTTCACCTAAAATCCCTTTGACTCCCCTCTGCTCCCTTGGTTCCCCCCATCTCCCAGGTGCCCAGAGGCGGGGGGGTACCATTATCTCCCATGGTCCCATGCCCCCCCTCCCCCCGCATATGTGTTATATTCCACCCTGTTCTTTCCCTATTAAACCTATATTTGGTTAAGTTCCAATGGGTCTCAGTTTTATAGGGGATAGGAGGAGAGCTGCTTCTCCATAAGTGGCTACCCCACCCATAGTGCACAAACACCAGCTAAATCCCTTCAGTTG